GGTCGAACACCAGTATTTTGGAAAATAAGACCCAATAATGATGAATAAAGCAGTTGACGACAAAGGCAAGAATAAATCCCAGTTGGGAGAAAGGGGGGTTAAATCCATCATAAGCAAAGCTGAAGTGTGAAGTCTTTAAACACTGCCTTGGGAAACTCACTCATATTTGCAATAAGTAGGAAAGTGCAGTCCCAAGAAGTACTTTAATGGGATAAACCTGAGAGAAATTTGAAGGAAGTGTGTCACATTGTCCATGGTCAATAAGAATTTAACTGGGTGAAAATTAAATATTTTCTTGGTAAAGTTGCACACTTTCTCTAGTTCGATGTAAACTGCTACTATCATTCTGCACAAAGAAAAAGCATTTTGAATATAGATCTCCATTACGTTACAATATCAGTAGTGCCACATTACACAATATGAATTTGAGGGAGGGGTAATGGGTCCTGTAGCACAGTACAGGGGTACCTCGGCTTACAAACCGTCTCCATTCCTGGAGACGGTTTGTAACCCGAAAATTCGTAAACTGAAGCAAATTTCCCCATAAGAAATAATGAGAAATGAATTAATCCGTTCCAAAAAAAATTAACTTCAAAGTAAATTTTATACCTAATTTACCCAAATCTTAAGTGCAAATGTATGTATGAGTTATTACTTACCTTTACTGATGACTCCTGTTGGTGTATGGAAGACTGTGAGGAGGGGAAGGAGAAGGTGTTACTGTTTGGAAGGGGAGTCCCCTTCCATTATAACATCAGGCAGCGATGACTTCTCTGGGGTACACACACTGGCACCTTTTGCCTGCATACTACTAGGACCTGCTTCTGACTTGCTGCTTGATTTTCTCACTAGAAATCATTCCATTGAAGATTGTTTTTCCCTTCTTTGTAACACTTGTCTATAGTGAGACATCACATTGTCATTAATAAGATCAATGCAACGGCCTGCTACACCTTTATCTTGGCGATTCTTTTCAGCAACACTTTGCAGTTCTTCCCATACTGCACACATTTTCTTAATTAACGACGAAAGGACATCCTCTACTGCCTCCTCCTCCCCTGAAGATTTGTTGTACTGTCTATCTCGTTCAACAACATGTGTACCACTTTCATGTTTACGAATGATCTCTTGTTTTCCTCTATGGTCACTCACATGTGTTTTCTTGCCTTGAACCTTACCACTGGCTTTCTTGGGACCCTTGGCGAGATATATAATAACTTATATAATATAATAGATATAACTGTAAATCCTTGCAAAAAATTCAGGTGTGATGGTCACTTGGCGGGAGGCACTGGTAAACTGAGGCGCGATTGCCGTGCCACCACACGCTAGGTTGGCCATACGCGTATCAACAAAGTCGTATCCTGAGGTAAAGTTCGTAACACGACTCAAATTTTCCGAAGAAATTGGGCTCGTAACCAGAAAAGTTCGTAAAGAAGGGGATTTGTAAACCGAGGTACATACCACTGTAGTTTAAAATCAACACCCACAAATGGGGGATCTTTGGTTCCTTCTCAAGGGAGGAAAGAAATGGTTGGGCATGTGTTCCCTTTCACCTGATGCCTCTGTTCACCTAGCAGTAAATATGTACCCAGGAGTTAGGTAGCTTGTGGGTTGCATCCTGAGGAATGTCAATAGTTCCACCTAGGGAAAGACCTTGATACAAGCACGGGTATCCTGTCTCCGACAACTGGAATTGTAATGGGGCAGAAGGTACGTGGTTGTGCATGAACCACCAAGAATAATCCCGAAATTCATTTAAGCATTAAAACATCTCATATTGACAAGTACCTACACGCTCACACACACGCAGGGCTTCCCAGCCGAGTGGACAGTGATCAAGTGCCATAGTCCTAAGGACCCTGGTTAGATAGATTCCCAGCCAGAGCAAGAACAAAGGAGAAAATTTCTTTCATCTCATGCACTGTTCACCTAGCAGTAAATAGGTACCTGGGAGTTAAGACAGCTGCTATGGGCTACATCCTGGGTTTGTGTGTGTGTGTGTTAGAGAGAAATATATGTAACAGACATAAAGGAAAATAGGCCAGAAGTCGGTATATTACACAACTGACGGTTAAGAAAGATGGGGGTTCAAGAAGTAGTAGCTTGATCCTGCAGACACAAATAGTAAATGCATGTATGCATGTGCAAACACCCCCCCCCCCCAAACACACATGCACACACCATCAACACAGATGCACATGCACGCGCACACACACGGCATAAGAATGCACATAAACACACACATTTACACACTAAAAACATGGTATATAAAAAAGCTGCAGAAAAATATTCGATAGGTGCAATTCCTATGTAATACAGCATTTACAGCAATAAACCAAGACAATTTTAAAAAATATAAAAGGGATGAACGCTCTACCAAAGATCCAAGGCGATTCAGAAAAAATGTACATTTTTTTAACACATCACCTCTAACGGCTTTATGTCATCATGATATTCATGCAGCCACACCTCCAGCTTACTTCATGAACACAAAACCCATTCCCAGTTTAAAGTACAGTACAAGTCATCAAGGCTACATAATATGATTAGTATCTAAAATAACCAACTTTATTCCCTGGGTATCCTGGAAAAGATCAAGGATTATATTCACACTTTGTTTACAACCACCAGGCTGTCTGACGGACTTTATACATGTCATTAGCTTCAAATCATTCAGCTCGGTTGCTCCGGTAGCCTCTAGTAACAAATATCCACTAGTTCAATAACGTTGAGCATTAAGCTTGAAAAACACAGCATAAGTCAGCATTAAGAGCTTTATCACTCTGATGTTACCTTGCACGAAACAAAAATAAACAAGAAATATTAACGTTTGAAGCAATTTACGTTCTCCATTGATATCGGCTATTAACCTTTATGCCTCGCAGAATGGCGACTATCGGTGCAAACTTATATGCTTAGAAATTACAGTGCTGTCAAGAGTAATTATTATACACAATTAGCTGATGTATCCTTTGCAATCTAAGTTTTGCTCATCATTGATATAGTGGACACAATGGAAAGACAGCAGGACAAGAAAAAGAAGGAAAACAACATTTCCTCCAAATGTTTCCTTAAAGCTGACACACATTTCCAACACAATTCATTCACAAAACCAATTGTTGGGGAAAAAAATTATATACAATCCAAAAACATTCACAAATGATGACTAACAAAATGCATACTTTGAACCATTTCCTAGTGTCATTGATGATTTTTTATATAAATTAAAAGCATCACTAAATATAAATGAATCAAGGTTATCAAGCATAACATGGTGCTCAACATTTGAGCTTCCTGAACAAAGTGAAGTTTTACCAATTCCTGTGCTTCCAGATAACCAAATGGTACTATTGTATTTAAGTTGATAATAGCAAGTATATTACCACAAACTTCTACTTTTTTAGAGAAAACAAACAATGGTTACAGCAAACATCACAATGTACTACAGATGAGGTTACAAAATATTACATCACATCTGCTTACAAATTAACCTTGTCAGAATGGTTTCTTAAAATACATAAGTTACAAAACTTGGTCCTCTGTGTTAAAACTTTAGAATAATCATAAAAAAAAACAACTGCTTTTGGTGGCAAAGAAAACCAATGAAAGAACAACAGTTTTTAAAGTGACTCATTACACGGCTAAGAAAATTTGTTGAAAGCCAGCCAAATGTAATTTTAACACTTTCGCTCGGGGATGACGCAGCATTGCGTCATCCGTTTACTGGCGGTAATGCCGGGGATGACGCAGCATTGCGTCATCCACTTTAAAAATTCTCCAAAAATCAGGTTTTTATCCGATTTTTTGGGGACTGGTTTTAAAATGTGCGCCGATGTCTTCCCATTTTCTTTGTTGAGCCTCGTGGCCCTCAGGCGGCTTGGCACATGCCATGGGCCCATTGTCTTTGCTCCACTGTTGTGACCAATGTCGCCTCCCCTCGCATCTCAAACGTGTGAACATTTCGGCTATTTCCCGTGGCTATATTTCTTACTGCGGCTTTAGAAACTATCTACGCTTACTCCACGATGGATAGTAATCATGAACAAGGCCCTTCCAGGAAGAAAATTGCGAAAGAAAGGCTTGAAAAGGGTGGGAATTGGGAGTGTAGCAGGAAGGCCTATGAGCACTCACTCACGGCTAACGCGTGGCCCGTCTTCAACTCGTCGGCGGTTGGAGCGTGACCAGGTTTTTTTTTTATATGCTAATGTTCCTATAGAGAATTTTATTACGAACCCATTGAGACCAAATTGAAAGACCTAGGACAAAAATTGAGGTGACCAGAGTGAAAATAGTGAAAACATTTTATCCCGTTTGCGCGCTCCCGGGTAACTCGTTCGCACTTTCTCTGTTTGCTGCGGGTAATTAGCTGGGCTTTTGGAGTTTATATGCATTTAGTGTTGTAGAGAATTTTATTGCGAACACAATGATACCAAATTTAATCTCGTAGAAGGAGAATTGAGGTGACAAAGTTGAAGAGAGTATACACTTTTCGAAATTAACGCGCGCTTCCGTGACACGCTGGGGCCCATATCGCCCTGTCGAGGGGTGGCGCGCGGGGTGAGCGAAAGTGTTAATGTGGAATACATGATAGTAGCCCCTGCGCCCACCATTTGTTTTAGATAATTATGTAATGAACGTCACCCAAATGTAATTACTTGACAAGAGCTGTGCATGTGGTGTCTTCCCAGTCCTCTTTGTCATGTCATGCTTTGAAACTACACACACACATGCGTACATGTTTGTGTGTGTGTGCGCGCATGAATATATTTATGTATGTAAGTGCATGTGTAAAATAGGATATGTGGGTCATATAACATGCCGAACAAAAATGACAAAAGCAATAAGGTAGGAAAACCAAAAAAAGGATTATAAGCTAGGTACTGTATATTAAACTAAGGCCAGCTATACTGTATATATGGAGCCATTATCTTTTATGTCACATGTTTCACTTTTAATGTCAACATTTAAATGTCGGTGAATAGTGTTAAATTTTAGAGAAAAAAAAACAGAACCACAGTTTTTGGCATGCTTAACCAGGTATATAGTAACAAATATTGGGATAAATATTACACATGAAGACTAAACCACACACCAGAAGGTGAGATGACGTTTCGTTCCGTCCTGGAACATTATCAAGTCGATTGCTATTGAAGCGAGCATTAAGTAATGCAAGAGAGGTGAGGAGGAGAAATTCCTAGAGGAAGGCAAGAGCAAGGCAAAAGGTACAGATGGGATGGGTGTAATAATCAGATGTAAGAAGGAATCAGATGTAAGAAGGGGGTAATAATGGGTATACTGTAAGTGGAAATGTAAGAATATGAGGAAAAATAAAATACAAAAAAAGATAAAGGGGGGAGGGGGTAAGCTTATGTTAGATCACGTTTGTTAGAAAGGTTAAAGCATTTGAGTATGTACTTTGAAAGGGAAGTCAACAGCAACAAAGCCAGGACTAAGGTTCATGTTGAGCATGTTGTGCATCAGAGCCGAGTCAACAAGATGGCGTCTGTGAAGAGTAGAGGCATGAAAGTTTATTTTAGAAGATAAATCAATAGGGTGATTAGAGTCCCTAATATGACAGACGAGAGCATTGTTTGTGTCTGCAAACTTGAGACTTCTTTTGTGTGCCTCAAGTCTGTCATTAAGTGTACGGCCAGTTCCCCCAAAGTATTGGAGAGGACAAGACGAACAAGAAACAGAGCAGACGCCAGCATTAGAAGCAGGAGCAGCAGTGTGAACCAGATTACTACGAAGAGTGTTAGTTTGTCGAAGGGCAAGCTCTATGTCAAGAGGACAAAGGATATTAATTAGATTTTTGAGTTCAGATATGAATGGAAGGCAGAGCACAGTGGTACTAATGCTGGAAACAGGTTTGGGATGAAAGAAATTTGATTTAACTTGAGAATAGGCACAGTTGATAAAAATGTAAGGGGTAACCAAGGCAAGAGAAATTTCAGAATCAAGAAACTGAGGGTCAATGATGCGTAGAGGACGGAGGAAGAGAGAGACGAGAACACTGTTCTTAACAGAAGGAGGATGGTAAGAAAAGAAGTGAATGTACATACCACTATGTATGGATTTGCGGTAGACAGAGAAAGAGAGCCTGGACACAGAGCCATAAACATGAACATCAAGAAAAGGAAGGAGGAAATTAGATCCCCCATTCAACTTGGAAATGGATAGGAGCCAGATGGTTAAGAGAGAGGAGAGGAAAGGCTGGAAAGAGAAAGGCTCGTCATCATCTCATCTTCTGGTGTATGGTTCAGTCTTCATATCTTCAGCCATGTTATTGTGACTCGTCGTCTGCAAATATTACACATTTATTACCGCCCATCTTAAGCCTCACTGTTAGTCCTTCCTTTAGTTTCTTCCCACTTTTAAAAACAGTTTCTATTTGCAAGCAAGAAAAATCAGCTCTTCCATCTCCTAAGCAAACATATTTATGTAATATTCAAATTTGTGTTGCTTTTGTTGGTTATCGTACACCATGATTGGATACAGATGTACCATACAAGTTCAAGTATGCCCTTGAGTATGTTACAAAGTTTGCGTGTTTACCCGAAGATCACCCACGTATCCAATCATGGAAATGAACTTTCATCAAAACATTATCCAAATTTGGATAAATCATCCACACGTTCATTAAGAGTATGCTATTTATGGGTCTCAATATTTTCTTATAATAATTATATATATGTATATATATAAGTATAAACAATATATATATAAACAAACAAATATCCTGTACACTTCACTGACTTGTTTCCTTTACAATAGACTCTTCAAGCTTATTTACAAGTCTGTAAATCACAACTATCCCACTACGTTGTATAGTTTTTCTTTCCACTATTGGTTTTTCCTGTACGTGTCTTCTACATTTATTCTCATCTTGTTAAATGCATCTGTCTTCACAAAGTCAACTTTCTTGTACACAACTGAAGGAGCCGAAGCCCCTACAGAACATTTACTTGATGCCCCTTTCAAAGATTTGGGGCTATGTCCAGCCTCAGGGTCAAGATCCAGATCCAAGTACTGAATTTCATGTTGTGGTCTACACGCATTCTGTAACGGAAAGAATATCTGAAAGAGATGGGCATACGAATTAGTTCAACCCAGAAATGCAAACCAGGTTTGGCACAAGAGAAAAACCAATTAAAAGAACCACTTAAAGCAAAATAACTTCAAGTAGTACAGTGAGTAGTGCTGACAGAATTATCCATCCGAGGTCTCATCAAAGCTACTAAGAGCCAAAGCTCTATGCAGCCCACTCATGGCGATACACAAGTTGCTTGAATGGGAGCTATCAACAAGCTGGAAGACTGCCATGCAGTGCCAATAAACAAAAGGGAAAACAGACAGGTGTTAAATTACAAGCCATCTCTTACACATACATACCAAGCAAGGTGATGGAAAAAGTCTTATGAGAGTAGAACATCTGCCAGAAAGAACCCTTATAAACCAATGGGCTCAAAAACAACATCCTACCTCAAGTAATTATAAAAAAGGCATCAAGTCATCATGCATCACAAATCTGACAGAATTCTATGGTACAGAAGGTGCTACAGTACAGAACATGATTCAAGGCCAGGTTGGGAGAAGAATCGGGCACAGCAAAAAAAATGGGCCCAGTCAGACTGGTAAGGAAAATACAAGAGAGCACGGAAACCCTCTGAAGGAAAAAGCCACAGACTCATTAGGGTGAGTGGGCTGGCTGGGTGGCTAGTTAACTGGCAGACGGACAGGCAAGATGGCTGGCTTGCTGGCTGATCGATGAATGAATGGCTGGCCCGCTGGCAGACAGACAGGCAGGAGAGGGGGTGGGCAGGTGGACTGGCTGGTTAGTGGGCAGGCATTGGAAGGATTGGTTGCTGACTGGCAGTGTGAATGGATTGGTGGCAAACTGGTGGGTGGTTGGGCAGGAGGTGAGGCGAGGTGAGACAAGGTCAAGTCAGGTGAGGCGAGGTGAGACAAGGTCAAGTCAGGTGAGGCGAGGTGAGACAAGGTCAAGTCAGGTGAGGCGAGGTGAGACAAGGTCAAGTCAGGTCAGGTCAGGCCGATTCAGGTCAAGTCAAGTCAGGTCAGGCTGGCGGACTATCACAGACTGGCTGTGGTCATACCACATCCCCTCAGCTCCCCCCCATCCCTGCTACATCCTATCCCCATCCCCACACCGCACCCTCCCAGAAATATCCCCCACAGCTCCAGCCACCTATAGATAGTCGGTTCGGTATTAATACGACTACCTTCCTACCAGATGGTGGCCTTGGAGGCAGACTCCAGGGCTCAGACTGACTGCTCAGACTTGTATACATGAAGGTACATTGGGTTTGTGAGAGTACATAGCGTTGGTGTTCTGTAAACAACATCAGACTCATGTTGTTTACAAACTGTGACTGGTTGCTACCACAATTGTGAATGCCTGCCTGACTTTGACTTGTGACTGGATGCTTGACTGACTGACTTGACCATGGCTGCCGCTGACTGGTCGCGACTGTGACTAGCTCTGACTACATGCTGCATAACAGAAGCAGTGAAATCTGTGAAGGGAAATTGTAACTGCTGGCTTAGCAAGGGCAAGGTTGTCACAACAAACACAATACTGTACTGGCCTCCAAAATAACTCGTACCGGACTTTGTAAATTCTGTTAAAGTGCCAGATTTTCGAAAAGCTGATTTTAATGGCCTAAGAATTTGGGGGGGGGGGTGAAATAGATTGGAAAGTTCTGGGCATGGGGGTAGATCGATCTTGGAGCGAGACGTGAACCCAGCGATGGGTGATGTAAACAGGGATTTCAAATTGGAATCAAAATATAACTTTTTAATAATATTCTAAGCAAAGCACAGAAATGTAGTATACCATACAAATTTAACAGATTGAATAATAATGACCCAAAATGGATAAAGGATCTGAAGAACCTTATAGGTAGAAAGAGAGCTTGGTACAAAAGGATTAGGAATCCCAGCCGGGACCGGCTCCCAACCAGTCCACGTGTCTGCTTGCCAGGGATTTGGTTCTTCCCAATTTGCTGGGTTTGGGTTCTTGGTAACTAGAGGAAGTCTTATCTGGTTCCCTCTCAGGTTCGGACTTGGCTGGGTCTTGTGTGGGATTCTCTGAAAGTTTCCTTTTCTCTCCCTTCGGCGGCGTGGCTGCTGCTGCGGTCCCACCTTCGGCCGTTTCTGGGGGCTCCCGGGTCACTCGTCGGTTGCTCGAGCAGCTGTGTAGTCAGGGGCAGTGGGGTCCATCCTTCTGTCAGGCTCACAGCACAGTGTGGCTGTTGCTTCGAAGAGTTTGTGTTGCCAGCGGATCGACGATTCAGCTCCATTCGGACAGCGCCCGGTGGTTCATTGCCTGAACCGAGGGAGTTTGATGCAGTTTTTGGGGTTGGTCACCTCGGGTGACTCGTCTGCCGAGTTCTCAGGGTTTGGCTCTCTTGGCAGTTCACTGAATGGACGGTCGATGCCAACTCATTCAGTTGGCTATGCAGGACATACTGGCAGCCAGAGGTGGACCTGTTCACACCCGCATGGTCAAGGCATCTCCCGGTATATATGGCACCCTTCCCCGACTGCGAGGCCTTCGGGGTCGATGCCTTTTAGCAGGCCTGGGTGAGGTGGGGTTACATATACCTCTTATCTCTGGTTCCGCTGTTGCTTTGGGCCCTGGTTCGTTTGCAGACTTACCAGGGGAGAGTAGTTCTGTTGGCCCCTTGGTGACCGGACCAGCCTTTGCTTCTGGCGCCGCTTGCTTGGTCTCCGAACTCGGGGACTTTTCTGCGGCTCCGCCTCTTTCAGCAGATCGGTTAGGTTGCGCGGACGAGCAGTGCAGCAGTGGAGTGTGACGTTTGCGTGTTTCCTTGGGATTGGAGGGAGTTCTGCCGCTCTTTTCAGATTTTAGTTGTACTTTTCTTACCATGTGGGGTTTGTTTTGTTATGCCTACCTTTCTGGGTGCTTGACCCCAATCAACGGCAGATAAGGAAAACCCCCAAACACAGGGAGGGAGGTTTTCCAGAGCCATTGTTCTCTGAAATCTCTCTGAGGGGGCCAGGTTCTGGCCCATGGTCTTTGGTAGGCTGAACTCCATAGACTAATGCTCCAGTCTAATATATCACACATTAGCTTGAGAGCTCCAGGGAGCCGAAGGGGTTCTCCACAGAAATTGTAGTCGAGAGGAACCGCTAAATTATAGCCCCGTATCATTAACAATTGTGGTAGTCAAAACACTAGAAACATTAGTTAAAGCCAAATGGACTGAACACCTAGAGAGTAATGACATAATAATGGACAAAAAGTATAGTTTTCAAAAAGGAAGATCCTGTGTAACAAATCTATTTAGTTTTTATGATAGAGCCACAGATATAATACAGGAGAGAGATGGTTGGATTGACTGTGTCTGTCTAGACCTAGAAAAAGGTTTTTGACAGAGTCCTACAAAAGAGGCTGTTTTGGAAACTGGAACATGCTGGATGAGTGACAGGGAGACTTATGACATGGATGAAAAACTTTTTAACTGACAGACAGCTGAGGGCAGTAATCAGAGACAATGTATCTGACTGGAGGAATGTTACTAGCGGAGTACCACAGGGTTCAGTTCTTACACCAGTAATGTTCATCATCTACATAAATGATCTACCAGAAGGAATACAGAATTATTTGAACATGCTTGTGGATGATGCTAAAATACTGTGGAAGATTGGAGCACAGATGATTGTAATGCCATTCAAATTGATCTAGATAAAATAAGTGCTTAGAGCATAAAGTGCCAAATGGAATTCAATGTGGATAAATGCCTTGTTATGGAATGTGGATTCAGAGAAAATAGACCACACAAAACTTACAATTATGTAGAATGGATTTACAGAATTCTAATAAAGAACGAGACCTAGGGATGGTTTTGAATAATAAGCTGTCGCCAGAAGAACACAAAGAACATTGTGAGAGGAGCGTATGCGACGCTTTCCAACTTCAGACTTGCTTTAAATTATATGAATGGTGAAATACTAAAGAAACTGTTCATGACTTTTATGAGATCAAAACTGGAATATGCAGTTGTAGTATGGTGCCAAAATCTCAAGACGCACATAAAGAAACTAGAAAAGGTGCAGCAGGATGCCACAAAATGGCTTTCGGAACTGAAAAACAAGAATTACGAGGAGAGACTATAGATTAAACATGCCTAAACTAGAAAAGAAAAGAAAAAAGAGGTGATATGATCACATACAAAATTCTAACAGCAATCTACCAAATTGACAAGGAGGAATTCCTGAAACAAGCAACACCATGAACACAAGGACATGGTTTCAAGCTAAGGAAACAGAGGTGCAGAAAAAACCTTAAAAAGTTTTCTTTTGCAAACAGAGTGGTAGATAGTTGTAACAAGCTAAGTGAGAAGGTGGTGGAACCCAAAACCGTCAGTAGTTTCAAAGCGGTATACTATAAAGAGTACTGGGAAGATGGGATACCACGAGCATAGCTCTCATCCTGTAACTACACTTAGGTAATTACACACACATACATGTCTTTGGTTGATAATACTATTACCGATAGACGAGAGAATGTCATATTCTAGCTCACTGCATGCAATTTTTATAGATAATATTATGATATATATTATAGCCTAATGTAACCTTGATTTTGGCATAAATAGAACACAAATGCTTAAATATGGTGAATTCTGTGTGATGTTACTCCAATTGATGTTTCATGCGGTACCATTAGCTGCCAAGTTCTGATCCTTTATCTGTAGATATGACACCTTACTTCCTCCTGGGAGCTCCTCATCAGAGGGCACCACAGCAGAAGCTCCTCGTGGAAGCTGTTATCACTATACAACCTTTTCACTATGAACTTCTCTAATCTCTCCTTTTCCCTTGCCTTTCTTTCAATATACCAATACCTTTATTTCACCCTTGTACACCCTCATTAACCGATTCTTTGGCACTCTACTAACGTGTGCATATCACTTCAGTGTACCGTGCTTTTACCCTTTCCACAATTTCACATATGATTCCCTCACACTACATCTTGTACTCCCGCATTACATGACCCATCCCAAATATTGTACTTACACCAGTTGCTTTCCTCAATTACAGCAGTTAGTTTTCGCTGCTTGTCCTCTTGTAGTATAATGTTTATCAGTACTGTACTTTCTTACTTCTCACAACATTCCTTCATTATACTATTCACTTCCTTTACCACTCTTCTACTCATTTCCTCTCATTTTACTACAATATTCCCATTTTCCATCCAACACTTCCCGTATGAACATAAAACTTTTTACTTCTAACAGTATCTTCCTCCTCTATAGAAACCCCTAAAATCCACAACATTCGCTTCCTCCTCCCCCTCTAAAACACAACCTTCTTCCTACGCTGACCAAACTTTCTTCTCTAGCACACACTATTCAACTCATTTACAATCTTTTGCAATTCTAACTCCCATAGAAAAACCTTGCATCATGTGCACACCTCAATAACAATTTGTCTGTCACAGTCCACACCAACTCGTGATGTTCTTAATTTTATAGTTGAATTCTCTACACAGGAAGCAATAGGTAAAACACTTAAATTAAACACTTGTACAGAGTTCTTCACCAAATATTTCAAGGATTACTCTTTGGTCTTAACACTTCAAAGGGTACAAATTGGCCAGGGCTCAATTCAACACAAGTACTATATGTTATGTTAGAAAAGACGATAAAATAAGACAAAAGATGCCTTTTCAACTTTCTCTTTGAATTACAACATTTTATCCCAAAGATGAAGTAAATTAAAAAAATTAAATTATAAGCATATACAGGTACCATGTAAACAAAATGATAAACAGTTGGAAAGTGGATTTTTTCTTTTGGTTGGGGGAGGGGAGACAATAGAGCAATACAACATGCAAGGGTAAATTTAGGCCACAAGTCAGTTTGGTTTATTAAGCTAGCTGTTTAGGTGACAATATAATTACTATGGCATGGCAGGGAAAATGAAATAATTACCATGAACGTTTATCTCTTAGATAATAATTTGAATGACATGTTTCATCACTAACCTGTTCATCTGCATTTGTAGAGTTGCGTCTACTTCCAGAGTTGGATGTATGATCTGCTTCATCCCCACTCTCATTGCCACTACGACCATTGCGCAGTGTAGGTGGAGTTGGAGAGGGTGCACCTCGTTTGCGCTGGTCATGCTTTTTAAGGCGAATTGGGGCTGGATCTAGTACAAACATATTTTTGGGAACAGACTCTGAAGGGTTCTTTGTTGGTTTAAGATTTCTATCAACCACAGGTGGAGCTGATGAAGGTGGAGCTGGTGAACCCCCAACAGCACCCAACACCTCTTGTGGACCACCAGATGGTGGCGGAGATAACTCGGAGCAGCTCATATTCCCTCCATCAGAAGTCTTTTTGGGCTTAAGTCCCCGATCAACTGCAGGAGGATAGATTGGACTTTTGTTTGTTTGTGGAATATTTGAATACAGACTTGCAGGTGATATCCTAGGGTCAAGTTCTCCTTGTTTATCATGTATATCATGCACCCGCACATCATAAGAAAATATTTGGCTTTGCGAGGGAGTTTGAACAAAGTTATTGCAGCAATGTCTTTGAATGGTCCTTTCAGCTGCCTGGGGACTCACAGATTCAGAATACTGCTGTGATCTAACCAGAACATGAACGTCTTCATTTATATCACGAGGCGTTGACGGAGGTATGGAGCAAGTACCAGATGCTGGAGAAGGTTCAGGGTCAGATGTCCCAGTATTAGCCTCATGAACAGAGAAAGTACCCCCTATTCCATTTCTAATTTTCTCATTCGAACTGTTTTTTCTCACTAGTGAAGTTCTTGTGATTGTGTCCAAGTTTTGATATATCTGTTGGGGAATTTCAGCAAGATGAGGTGGTTTGGGAGGTCTAGGTGGAGCTGCTTGTACCTGCTGATGGTCGTCATCTGATATACTAAGACTGCGAATATCATTTGGTAAAGTGGCAACGTTACCCAGCCCTGGCGACAACCCACTCTTACTTCCCAGGCCATCCCACTGCCCATCTTTACAAAATGTGTCCCTGGGTCTTGTTCCATCACTGAAAAATTTGGCTTCCACCTTAAGTGGAGTACCATCCCAGTCATCTCCACTGAAAACACTGCTGCATTCTGTTCCTAATGGCGACTGGACACTTAATGCGTCTTCAGACGCTCCAGATGGCCGTAGCTGTCTGTGGCTGTCATACGACTCTCGTGGTATGGCTCCCGTATTTACTGTGGGGGCAGGGGGTGCCTGTGTTAATGGAGGTTGACTATCATGGTACATTACTGGTGCCGGAGGAGCAATTTCATTGGGTATACTTGAGCGATGATTTTCTAAGGACCCTGGTAGTGGGATATCATTAAATGGGAAACAGGAATTTGTATTTGGGGTTCTTTTTCCAGTAAAACATGTACTAATGGGAATATATGGTCCAGACGTAGATGAACTAGGAGATGATGGTGACTGGGGAGGAGAATCTAGGACTTGATGGTCTAGAGGCAAGCTATGAAGTGGAGCTGGAGGTGTGGCCGATGGTGTTGTTGGTATGTGGTTAATGGGTAACGGGTACTCGTCTTCTTGGGTGTAGATCTTGAGACCGCACACATGGCATACACAGTCAACCCATCGATTCATCTCCTGTTCTGTCTCTGCACATAGGTAATAAACCCTCTTGGGAGTCTTAATATCGAACATGTACTTGTACTCCGACTTTCGATTTGCAAAAGTTATGCCTGCATCAACCTGTTGGAAAATAATCAGTTTCAAATTTTGGTGAAAGAAAGAAATGTTTGCTTATCCATTTAACTACCAACTGTACTCTACTCAGACCACCACATTATTTGGTTAACTATTTCCAACTCTGCATTCAAAATACAAGTACAGTACAGTAGATTCTATCACCACCATGTACATGCCATTTAAGAAACTTTGCTAACATTTTTGTCTCAACCTTTCATTCTTAACGTTACAACATGCAAATTTGATCATTAAGCCATACACAATTCCAACCCCCCACACCCCCATGATCATGGAAATCTTATTAGAATATTTTGCAAGAAAGCGTCGCGCCACACCAAGGTGCGCCTGGCATTCCATGGAAGCGCACAGTAATACTGAAAAGTGTATACTCTTTTCAACCTTGTCATCTCAATTCTCGTCCTAGGTTTTTCAATTTGGTATCAATGTGTTCGCAATAGAATTCTCTATAGGATTAAAGGCATATAAAATCCAAAAGCCCGGCATACCATCCACAACAAACAGAGAAAGTGAGAGCATGTTACCCGGGAGCGCACAAGAGTAATAAAATGTGTACACTCTTTTCACTTTGGTTACCTCAATTCTCGTCCTGGGTTTTTTGTTTTAGTATCAATGTGTTTGCAATAGAATTCCCTACAGGAGTATAGGCATATAATCTCAAAAACTGTGGCGCGCTCCACCCGCAGACAAGATGAAAACGGGCCGTGGTTACCCGCAAGTGAGTGCCAAGCCACCCCAAGGTGTGCCTGGCATTTCAATACAGTGCGCGGTAATACTGAAAGGTGTATACTCTTTTCAACCTTGTCATCTCAACTCTCGTCCTAGGTTTTTCAATTTGAGTGTCACAGGAGTGACAAGAACAGTGATCGGGTTTGATATATAAGGCCTACAATATAATGTGTACATCTACATAACATGTAAACCTGTCCCTGAAATAGCTCAAAGGAAGTCTTGCAACCCACTCCTTTGCTGCTATTCTGTCTGAAAAACGTCATCCAGAAATAGCATCAAACATTACTGGGAAGGAGAAAATTGTAATTTGACAATCTTAGGCTAATAGTACATAATAACCTCATCACTATAATAAGCAATTAAAACTGATAGCAGAATTATTTTACAGATGGTGTTTAACTCCATTACAACCATGTAGATGAATTATAATTTTATTTTCATAATTTATATCAAAATCGGGTGATAATACCAAATTAATATAGGACGATAACTGCATTGGCCCAAGGATCAACATGCTGTATGTCAATAACTACTCCTTAAGGGGTTAAAGCTCTTCACTCTTCAAAAGTCTGAAAAGCAAGATAACGCCATCATTCATCATACTGGTGGTCCGGGAACACATCCCCTATTTATAACATTAGAGTATACCTATGGGAAATTTCTTTCCGTGTTATGAATGCCTTTTAAGGACTGTTCTTTTTCAAGTTGGGGGCTCCCTGTACTGTATGTAGTCCTACAAGTTACTTATCGCTTATATTTTTTCTTTTAAAACTTCAATTTAGGTGAAGCAGCAGAGCTACTCATTCCCTCCTATAAAACCTTTCCTTACCTTATAATAATAATGTTTATTCGGGTAAAAGTACATACATTTAAAATGAGTTACAAACAGAATATTGGATTTCTAGATAAGAGATAGTACACATTATGCCTAAAGCCACAAATATTCACAGCATTTTGGGCAAAGCTTATTATTAAACCTTATTATCTGGCTTCTTAAGAAGATAGTGTTCCACAGTAACACTCGGCAGGATCCTCTTGTGATATTGCAATATGTGGCTGTCATTCCTCCATCAAAATTATTCTACTTCACTGGCTACTTCACTTGACCAAACAATAGGAATTTCAGTCAATTCATTCCTGTCATCCCATAACCCTTTCCCCATTTGAGTCCCTCTGGCTCTGGCAGATTGTAGATAACAGATTTTTCCCTCTTCAATTCATGCCTTATGTATTTTACAACATGCTTGGCTATTACAGCCTCTAACAATACTAATTTTGCAGTTTGTGAATGATTTCATGGTTATGTTCTCCACTGATTTGCCACCTTTTCTACTCGCCTGACACTCCTGCCATTTTCATCGTTTCCTTTCTCTACTTTTCTGTGTTTCCATGTTCATCCTCTCTAATGGGTTCCATTTTCATGTTGTCTATGATCTCCAGTCACCTTGTCCTCCCTTCTTCACATTTCTCCCAGAATCCTATTCAGCTCAGTAGTCTGCAGTATTCCTATTGCTTCAGTCTCTCATTCTCCACAAACTTGCTCCATTTTTTCCCAGTCCATCTTTACTCATCTACTGAACTTTTTCTATAGTACAATACTAGAATTTCTGTTCCTCTTCTCTCCAACCGACCGACTTCCAGTGTTTACTGAATATGATCCTATAGCCAGGTTTACATCTGTTGGAAAACAAATATAGTCTTGTCCAGACTATTTCTGATCCGCATCCTCCTCAATTGCATGCATCCTCTCCCTCCTCCTGTCAATTCTTGTCTGTGCTAGGGGGACAGCAATCAATGCACAAGATATAAATTTAGAATACAATACGTGATTTGAGTACATGTGTTTAGAAAAACATTTCCAATTCATGTAATACTTAACACTGTACTCTAACCTTTAAAACTTGTCCCTGATGAGGGATAACTAGAAAAGACAAGGACCAGATATTGTCACAAATGAAATCACTGTCATCCAAAATCTAGACCTCCTTATAATGGATTCCTCTAAACAATGGACAGATTCTGTCCTTTTATCTTATTTTTTCTTTATAGAAAAAAACAGCGCTGAATGTAATGAAACTAACCATTTGTTAGTTTCGAGGACCCGGCTCGAATGCCTCCACCGCAACCCCGGAAGGGGACTCTCGAGACCGCCCGAGTCTCAACACCAACTAGATGCTGCCCCGACTGAAACCCTCAGACGTTTCGAAGCCGGAAGCAAAGGGGAAGGAACCAGATGCACAACAGAAGGGAAAGGACTACGAGAGGCAGACAGAACCAAAGTTGAAGCAACTCCCACCCCAAAGTCCGGGTCCCTATAACCAAAACAGGGTAGTCTCGGGGCATCCGGGAAAGCAACCAACCAAGCTCGTTGCAGCAACCACAACCTAGCATGCAATGCAGCAGCCGCCTGCACCCTCATATCATGAACAGTAGCTTGGGTGAACTGGAGCACGAACAAGCAACAAACGTCGCACAACTCCGGGTAAAAAAAATCACCGACCCAACAGGCAGCATGGCGGAGGCACAACAAGCTCGCACAAAGCGAGAGGGAAACTCAAGGGTCACATCCATCGAACCACATAGCCCCCGCGGAGTTTCCCAGGGCCCTTAGCCTTGGTTACACGCTAAGGGAAGCCCAGGCAGGATACTGCGAACCGGCGCCCAAGTCTACCAAACAAACTGCTAAAAGCTGAACCCCCGGGATGTGTCCACTCACGGGGGGCCTAGCAGGGGATACCACTAGACACACAAATATAGAGATATACTCCAACAACAGCTAGGGGAAAAAAATGAAGGCAGACCCCCCCCCTTCCCCACCAGGCAGAAACAAAAACAAAAGAAAAACCCCACAAGAGGACAACGTACCCAGGCGGAACAGAGCCGGCCGTAATTAAGTGGTGATAACTAGCTTAGCAGTACCCCGCGCCCCTACCAGTGACAAAAACTACCCCTACCCAGAGACAAACAAGGGCAATAAAACCCAAGCTGACCCCAAGGGCGGCCAAGTACCGAGCAGTAAAAGGCACAGCAGAGTGTCTCCTTCCACAAGGTGACTTGTGGAAGGAGACCCCCTAAGCACCGAGGGCAGTACTTACCGGGCACCTAGGGAAGGGAACCCTAGGCGCATGCAGGTCGAGTACCTTGGAATATTACTTCTGGCTCACACACCACCTGTAGAGATAGCCCATGTCACAAGACACAGAACTGAGACAAGCAGGAGCCAGAGGCACAAGACTACTCCAGTATCGCATCAGCCAAGAACCTTCCCCTCCTGGGGAGGGCACGGCAATATGATGGCATCATGCTCATTTGCCAATTATCGTTTGGGGAGTTCTGTCCACTCCACAAGCCAGGCCAGGTTCTGACTTGTGGTCCCCGGTAGGCAAGAACTCCATACACATTGACTGATGCCAGAAAGTTATACATATCCATTCAGCTTGGATAGCGCCGGGAAGCCGATGGGGCTCCCCCTAGAAAATGCTAATTTCAAAAGGGGCCCTATAATTAATTCAGGGCACTTTTGCAAAAGCTTAAATAAGAAATTAAATTAGGTTGTGGTTCCAAATGTTTTTAAATATAAAAGGCTTTTGAGAAGACTATCCAGCTGGAGAAATTTGTGTTATTCAAATCAAATTTTTCTAATAAAAGTTTTGTAGCACACAAAAAGATTGGGAACCATGGTCAAAAGTCAGCTCTACTTCCTCAAACTACCCAACTGCATCCAAACAGGAAAACACAACCAAGAAAGTTATGGTCCTTTCTCTGAATACCAAATTTCTAACATTATTTTGTTTTATAAATAATGTTCCTCCTTACATAGCCTTTAACCATTCATTTTTTTTGGCCCATTACTCACCTGGTCACACTGGTCAAGATCGATTTTACCCTTCAGCTTTCGTCGAGTGCGGTCTGTGTAGTACTCCAAGAAGTACTGCCCTGGTAATTCCCCAGATCGTAGTACAAACCACCGCATGCGCCATTTCTGTAAATACAGTATACTGTAGTACAGTATTAAAATTAATTAAAAACTTGACATATGTAGACAGTTAAAATGCATTAAAATAAAAATCCTCTAAATACAAATTATTTTTTAACTATTATAAATGAGCAATCGATATAACTTTTACATGATCAATACCAAAAGTTTAATTACATTTCAAGCCGTATGAAATAAATTTAAGTTTTGGCCACAATCATCATTTGTCAGGAATTTCCAGAGCTCTAATTCAAGGCAAATAATTGCCCTACATTGCAGAACAAAGGAAAAAAATTATTTTACAATTTTAATACTGAATAAAAGTTACTGAAATAACATGTGAATGCAATTACCATCCCTTGATGTGCACTGCACATTGTGGTAGAGCAGGGAAGGTGGTATTTGAATAAAACTGCATCAACTTTATGTACCAATAGGTTAATGAACAGAAATTATGACACTGTCAACCGACGTAGAAAAGTGCAACTGAAATCTCAAAGGTGTAAGGATAATATGCGAAAGGGTATCTGGTTTGTACCTGGAGTGGGTTCTGGGAGAACTTCTACTTCCCAAACCTGGCCTGAGATTGGGGCCAATGGATGTGGACTTGCACTGCAAGCCCGATAATATGCGAAAGGGTATCTGGTTTGTACCTGGAGTGGGTTCTGGGAGAACTTCTACTTCCTAAACCTGGCCTGAGATTGGGGCCAATGGATGTGGACTTGCACTGCAAGCCCACATATCCACTGCAACCTGGTCTGGCACGTCTTACACGAAACTTGTCAAATGGCATCTCAAAACCTTTACTGGCTCTGTTCTGCAATTCCTACCATATTGTTTGCTCCAGTATGTTGTTATTTTACTGTGTATATCTGGAACCTGGCCTCCCAGCATTTTACATGTACTGTATACCTTATGTGATACCTCTCTCATATGTCCCAAATATAAACAATAAAATAATTTACTAGAAAGATTTGGTAGAAAATGCAGAATAGACTCAGTGAAGAATAGAGGTTCCATAGGCACAATTAGAAAACACTGTGTGAACATCAGAGGCCCACAGCTTTTTAACTTCCACTCACCAAATATAAGAAATATTGCAGGAACAAGTAGAAGTTTTCGAGAGAGATCTGGCACTTTCAAAGAAACTTGCCCAGATCAGCCGATTGTAAAGGAATGTAGACCTGTGGGCTTTTCTAATCAGCACCCTTTAAGATCAAATTAGGCCAAAACAATCTTGACTCCAGGCAGAGATTGGGGAGTAGAAATCTTAAATCGATTACAGGATGACTACAGGTATATGCAGTTGTTTTTCTGGATATAAATAGTCAAGGCCATATTAATGAAGTAACTCATTTATAGCGTCACTGTTTTGCACAATTGTGATGACCATGTAACTTTCATGATTCACCTCATTGGCGAGTTGTACCCAAGCAGGTAGCTCCGAATCATTCTTCCGGGTGGTAGGCCAATTACAGCAGTTCAGTGAGGACGAGTTACCTATCGCAACAATATATGGCACAAATACAAATAAGCTATTAAACTGTTTTGATAGTTTTTTTTGTGCTACCTCGTGTCTACTACCTTGTGTAGCTTCCGGGGATCAGCAGCCCTGCGGCCCAATCTCTGCCCGGTTGGTCGTCTGGTCAACCAGGCTGTTGGACGCAGCTGCTCGCAGCCTGACGTATGAATCACAGCCTGGTTGATCAGGTATTCTTTGGAGGCGTTTGTAGAGTTCTCTCTCGAACACCGTGAGAGGTCGGCCCTTTATGCTTCTTACGTGTAGCGGGAGAGAGTTGAAAAATCTTGGGTCCTTTATGTTGACAAGAATACTGTCGTACTGAATACCAAACTCTCACAAGTCAAGCCTGGCCTCAGGCCGGGCTTGGGGAGTAGAAGAACTCCCAGAACCCCATCAACCATCAACCAGGTAACTGTACAGTACTGTACTCCCTCAGCGTACATATTGCGCCTCTGCTTTTCAATGGGGGTATTTTGCACATACTGCCATGCTTACTGGTTTCCTTGTAATATTTCTATGTTCAGATTTGAACTAATCCCTCTAATCTCTTCCACGTGTATATTATTATGTATCTCTCTTGCCTGCGCTCTAGAGAATACCGATTTGGAACTTCTAATAGGTCCCAATAATCAAGATGACAGTGAATTCTAGCTGTAAAGGATCTTTGCAGGTTCTCTAGGTCAGCAATTTCTCCAGCTCTGATGGTGCTGTTAGAGCGCAACAATATTCCACCTTGAAGAGCACTAGTGTCTTGAAAAGTATCATTGGTATGGCATTCCTGGTTGCGAAGCTCCTTGTTAGCCAACCTGTCTTTTTTTTTTGTAGTTGTGACAGCTACACTATGGTGTTCTGTAAAGGTAAGGTCTTCTGACATGATTACCCCTAGATCCTTCACACTGCTTTTTCATTCTGTGATTTGATGATTTTTGTGATTTGATGTCATTTTATATATGGTTTCTGTTTTTAAATTTAAAATTTTGTTTCCACAGCGCAGAAGCTGGAACTTATTTTCATTAATCATCATATTATCTGTGGTCCATTGAAAGACCCAGTTTATATCTGATTGGAGGTTTGCCGTGCAATCAGCAAACCATAATCTGTTCAGGAACTGAACCACATAGTTCGTTTAGCTAAGTAAGCGACAATCTTTAAAAGCTAGTTACACAATTGTAAATGTTACTTACACATTTGCGAGCCATTGTCTACCATATTTAATAAATCCTTAGAGTCAGGCAGAGTGCCAGAGTCGTGGAAGGTTGCTAATGTGGTACCAATTTTTAAGAAAGGAGATAGATCACTTGCGTCAAACTATAGGCCAATTAGCCTAACGTCTATTGTGAGAAAGTTACTTGAATCAATAATTGCAAATACCATTCGTCTTCATCTTGGAATACATAAATTAATAAATAATTTCCAACATTGTTTTACAAGTGGCCGTTCATGTTTAACAAATTTGCTATCATTTTACTCCAGCATAGTTCAGGCAGTTGATAATGGTAAAGTTTGTGATGATGTGTACCGTGACTTTAGCAAAGCTTTTGATACTGTGCCACATGACAGACTGATTAAAAAGATAAGAGGCTCATGGTATTGGGGGTCCTATATTAAGTTGGATTAGGGCATGGCTATACCAAAGGAAACATAGTAAGTATAAATGGGGGTAAAGTCAGTGGGAAAATGTTGTAAGTGGAGTGCCTCACGGCTCTGTCCTGGGACCTCTGTTATTCATAATATATATAAATGAATCAATGATTTAAATTCAGGTTCGAGAAGCAATATTTGAAAATTTGCCGATGATACAAAAATCAAGAGAGAAATAAGCACGGAAAAGGAAAATTTTTCACTTCAAGACGATCTAAACAGTTTTGAAATGGTCAAAAGATTGGCAGATGCTGTTTAATGCTGACAAATTTAAGGTTTTGAAGTTAGGTAATGATGATAAGAGTTACAAGATACGAGCTAGATGGTGTTGAGATTGTGATGTCGGATTGTGAAAGGGATCCGGGAGTTATGATTAGTAAGAATTTAAAACCAAAAAATCAATGCATAAATGTTCGTAATAAGGCAAATATGACACGGGGATTTATTAATTGACACGTTAGTAATAAGACACCTGGTGTTTGTCTTCAGCTATATCTTGCTCTGGTTAGGCCCTATTTAGATTATGCAGTCAAGTTTTGGTCGCCGTACTATAGAATGGATATAAAACCACTAGAACGCTTCCAGCATAGGATGACAAAGTTTATCCCCCAAATTAGATATGTCATATGAAGAAAGATTGCCAAAGCTTAAATTACATTCTCTAGAAAGGCAAAGAATTAGGGGTGACATAATAGAGGTGTAAAAGTGGATGAACGGGCATAACAAAAGGGATATTAACACTTTCGCCACTCAATGGCGCACAAGCGCGTCACTAAGTTTTGTGCGGGTTCCGCAAAGCTGACTGACGGGAGTCACGAGAATAAACATTTGTATAAATTCCAATTTTAATCCGATCTACTTGGGGATAGTTTAGAAATGTTCGCCATAAAATTTACATTTCTCTAATAGCCGAAGAGCTTATTTGGGAGAACGGCATGGCAGTGAATTATCGTGGTAAAACAATTGTATTATTGACATGACGAGTATGATTGACGTAGCTTTTATATTTGTTGCCGGTCAAACGCATCCTTATGTGACGTTTTATACTTATGTTCTAGAACATTCTATTGCGAACACACTGGTATAAAAATGAAATGCGTACATCGAAAATTAACATCAGGACAGTCAAAAGAGTATACACTTTTAAATGTTGCCGCTTGATCGCCGAAACGCTAATTTCAGTTGGGCAAAGTTTTTTTTTTTTCAAACGCCGTTTCGTGAAAGTGTTAAGAAGCACATCAACAAACTGGAAAAGGTGCAAAGACATGCCACTAAGTGGCTCCCAAAACTGAGGGACAAGAGCTATGAGGAAAGGTTAGAGGCATTAAATATGCCAAAACTAGAAAATAGAAGAAAAAGAGTCGATATTATCACTATGTACAAGATTCTAACAGGAGTTGATAAAATTGATAGGGAAAACTTCCCAAGATCTGGAACTTCAAGAACAAGAGGTCATATTTAAACTAACTAAACAAAGATGCCAAAGAAATTAAGAAAATTCACTTTTGTAAACAGAGTGGTAGATGGTTGGAACATGGTAGGTGAGAAGGTGGTGGAGGCTAAAACCGTCTGTACTTTTAAAGCATTATACGACAGTGCTGGGAAGATGGGACACCACGAGCGTAGCTCTCATTCTGTAACTACACTTAGGTAATCACACACACTCAGACTGCCTAATCCCCCAATAAAAATAAATTATTATTATTATCTCCTATACTCAGGTTCTCTTGATGGTTGTCCATCATATGACTGGTTGAAATTAAAATTTTGTAAAGTGTAATTCACTCATTGAGCATACAAAATATTAGGGTACAATTTGTAACTCATTTAACACAGGTCTGATCACATCTAGCACAACATTAGGAAAGAAAATTTGTGCATTGGGAAAGTCACCGAGCATGTTTGAAACAAAAATCTATGGTTATTTTCATTTGGGTTTTACAAAATATACCAATTGAAAATTTGGAGATAAATAGCCAAAGGGACAAATTTCTGGAAATTTCGATCAGGTCCAGAATGATATAAACCAAATTTGACGGTGCACTTATACTGTTTATGTATATACACACACAGTCACCTCATGGCCAGAGAAAAATTTGTTACCAAGCATACTGCACCATTGGCCTTTTTTATCTACCAATCTCTGAATACAGCTTTTCATCAATTTATAATGGATTTTTATTGGGGGGAGAGGGAGGGGGGGGGAGGAATCTGAATATGGGGAATGCGTGTTTTTAAATTAAAAGTAATTCTAATATACCACTGAACACCCCAAAGTAACATACAGTAGCATGAATATTTGTTCAATGACCAAATGTTATTCTGGACTTTCCATATATATTTTAAGGTTCAAAGCACACACACAGGCCAACTTATCACACAAAAATTTATTCTATGATAATGCATGTATAGAACAAGTGACAAAATATCCGTCATATCCATCCATATCCCAATGTAACCTTGCGATCACATCAAGCTTATATATACACAGTATCTTATAGCCATCTTTTCTCAATACATTAAATGGTAAAAAAAAAGTTATAACACAGTTATAACACTATAACAGTTATAACACTATAACAGTTATAACACTATAACACAGTTATAACACTATAACACAGTTATAACACTATAACACAGTTATAACACTATAACACAGTTATAACACTATAACACAGTTATAACACTATAACATAACACATAACACTATAACACTATAACACTATAAGTTATAACACTATAACACAGTTATAACACTATAACACAGTTATAACACTATAACACAGTTATAACACTATAACACAGTTATAACACTATAACACAGTTATAACACTATAACACAGTTATAACACTATAACACAGTTATAACACTATAACACAGTTATAACACTATAACACAGTTATAACACTATAACACAGTTATACACTAGATAGAAAACTATCACCTGAGGACCACATAAAGAATATTGTGCAAGGAGCCTATGCTATGCTTTCTAACTTCAGAATTGCATAAATACATGGATGGCGATATACTAAAGAAATTGTTCATGTTATAACACTATAACACAGTTATAACACTATAACACAGTTAGAAGCATTAACCAAAACTAGAAGACAGAAGAAAAAGAGGTGATATGATCACTACATACAAAATAGTTACAGGAATTGATAAAATCGACTATAACACAAGTTATAAACACTAAACACAGATGCCGAAGAAATATAAGAAAATTCACCTTCGCAAATAGAGTGGTAGACAACAAGTTATAGCTCCCCGTCAAGTTTCAAAGCAACAACACAAGACACACCAAGGCCACAACCCCTAAACAAGTCACTAAATCTCCCTGGATGCCTCTCCTCCCCCCCCCCCTCTCTCTCAACCACGCCAAAAACACAATTATTACTTTTTTTTAGTTTAGTTCAATTATTATGCACCCCATACCCATCATGTGGGCGGTAGCGGAAAGGATTACAGAGGCACATAATGGGCCTCAGGGACTGAACCCCACAATTTACTTAACTAAGCAAGTTACAAATCTTGATGAGCTAGTTACATGCTTGGTGACAAGAATGGAAGCATTAAACCCCACTACAACCCCCAACCCCCACCCCAATGTGATGGTTGGTATACAGTAGGCCTGTAAACCTACACACACACCCCGAGTCAACCTTCAAGAGACTCACCGCCCTCCACAGCCTCTTCGGGGGCGGTGACTTCTTGAGCATTCCCTCGTGAACTATCTCCATATTGCCATCAACCATCTCCGCCGGCCGCTGACGTGAAGAAACATATTCCCCCGCCGTCAAATAGGGCTCCTACACACACTATCACACACCATCCCCGCACTCAGTTTACACAAGACGATGACTACTACCGCCAGCCGCCGCCCTCATTGGTCGCCATGAACCTACCCGGCTTGCAAGCCCTCCGCCCATTGGTCCAACCCTACACTTTTACCAATAAGAAACTTCTATGGATATAAATAAATAAAATAAATAAATAAATAAATATATAAATAAATAAATACATAAATAAATACATAAATAAATAAATGTTTCATTGAATATGACCGCATATTCTGTATTTATTATTTTCTGGTTTAGGGCTTCTATCCCTCTAACTATTTTCTTAGCATCAGGGCTTAATTGGAATAGGAGTTCTCCAAAACTCATTTTCGTACTTTTAAGGTGAAGAAAAGAAGTGATTTACTATAGAGTGTATTACACTTATTTGTATAATTTGCACGACGTTTCGAACCTCCATGGTTCATTCTCAAGTGAACAGATCTTACAATACTAGTTGATTTTATACCCGCATTAGGTCAGGTGATAATACAATGAAGGTGAAAAACATGGGGGGATACATAAGGGATAAACATAGGGGCTGCAGAAGGCTTATTGGCCCATACGAGGCATCTCCTATCTAAACACAAAGATTAATCCAGTGTAATTGGCCTGTTATGTTGGACATTGTCTTCTGTGTTGGCATCGATATGTTCTTGTCTTGTCCTTACTCTCATGGTGGGTAGAGTAAATAGTTCCGTGATTTGGGTGTTCATGGTAGGTCGCTCTATTCTTATGTGAATTGCCTCAAGAATTTGTAATCTTCTTGAATCTTGGGTTTTGTCTATTATGCAAGTATTCTTGTTCAACATTTCTCTTGTTAGAGTAATGTCATGTGGAATGTCATATGAGCTGTGGAAAAGAACACAACACCTATACCCCCTATTAGACTATTTTACAGGAACTTCTTTTCCACAGCTCATAAAACGGAGGAAAGGGTCCTGAAAGATATTGTTAATAGAAACGTTATCCCTACAGACAAAAATCAGAGGATACAACTGACGATTTACTATAAAACCAGAAAAACGGCCAGCCTACTCATGAGAAACTCTCCAGACACAAAACAGAACGCTTTAAAAGAGACTAACGTCGTCTATGCCTTCAAATGCCCACTTGGGGACTGTAAGCTCCAAAAAACCCAGTATATAGGCAAGACAACAACATCTCTTTCTAGGCGTTTAACGATGCATAAGCAACAGGGCTCCATTAAGGAACATATAATCTCTTCCCATAACCAAACCATCGCCAGAGAAATCCTAGTAAACAACACAGAAATCATCGATAGATACAGCGATAGCAGGCGGCTTGACGTTTGCGAGGCACTACACATCAAGAAGTCAACACCAGCAATCAACAGGCAATTATTGCACAACTATATTCTACCCACCTCAAGACTCCGCTCCAATATAGAAGCATCAAGAAATATGGACCAATAGGCTTTCTACAAACACTTCTATTCAATACCCATTGTTTCTGTTCTGTCTTGTGTTGATACTTTTAATACCCTATTAATATCCCCTCTTGTTCTGTCTTGTGTTAATGCCACATCACCCCTCCCACCTCACTCAAATGTAGATATAAAATCAGAGATACGTAAGTTCTAATCAGTTGTGTATTTGTGAAGTCTTTGAAAATGTAATAAGTTTTACGAAACGCGCCTGTGTCGCGTCAGACTAGAAATAAAAATGAATTTTGGAGAAGTGATTTTTGATTTACCTCCAACAGTGAAGCGTAATGTACGAAAGATTGAGAAAATTCGTGTTAGAATTATTAATCTTACTTTTTCGGTCATATTTAATAATATATATATATATATATATATATATATATATATATATATATATATATATATATATATATATATATATATATATATATATATATATATATATATATATATATATGTCGTACCTAGTAGCCAGAACGCACTTCTCAGCCTACTATGCAAGGCCCGATTTGCCTAATAAGCCAAGTTTTCATGAATTAATGTCTTTTCGACTACCTAACCTACCTAACCTAACCTAACCTAACTTTTTCAGTTACCTAACCTAACCTAACCTATAAAGATAGGTTAGGTTAGGTTAGGTAGGGTTGGTTAGGTTCGGTCATATATCTACGTTAATTTTAACTCCAATAAAAAAAAATTGACCTCATACATAACGAAATGGGAAGCCAGGAGCAACGCAACTGGTATCTACAGGACGTCTTAATCCGCTTGACCATCACGACCGGACAGTAAGGAAGTGATAGCCGAAGCTATTTGAACCACTTCCCCGCCGGCACTCGGATGGTAATCTTGGGCATAGCATTTTATCAAATCACCTCATTCTTTGGGGCACACGTGAGGAACACAAATGCGAACAAGCCTGAATGGTCCCCAGGATTATATGCGACTGAAAACTCACACCCCAGAAGTGACTCGAACCCATACTGCCAGGAGCAACGCAACTGGTATCTATAGGACGCCTTAATCCGCTTGACCATCATGACCAGACAATAAGGAAGTGATAGCCGAAGCTATTTGAACCACTTCCCCGCCGGCAATCGGATGGTAATCTCGGATGGTAAGAGGGAGAGAGAGAACACTCCAGACCGGCAGAGACACAGAACAAGAGAGAGAGTCAGGTAAAACACAACGAGACGGACAGAAAGGAAGGGGGAGCAAGGCCCAGAGGGAGAACAGACAGGCACAAGGCACAATCTTGTGTCTGTGTTGTGTTCCTCACACTGCCAAGCCTGAGCGAGAGGCAGTGCGAGGAACAACAGACAGCGGCAGACAAATAAACACCCGCAAAGGTTAAAGGGGACAGATAGGTTCAGTGCAAGACGACTCATAGACGTGTTATCAGCACATATCCGTTACCACGTCACCACACGCAGGGGGATGTATGCACACTTAGTCACAGGCTTCTCTCTCTCCCTCTCTCTCTCTCTCTCTCTCTCTCTCTCTCTCTCTCTCTCTCTCTCTCTCTCTCTCTCTCTCTCTCTCCTCTCTCTCTCTCTCTCTCTCTCTCCCTCTCCCTCTCTCCCTCTCTCCCTCTCTCTCTCTCTCTTCTCTCTCTCTCTCTCTCTCTCTCTCTCTCTCTCTCCATCATATATTTTGCATTTCCAGGTAAAGCTAAAATTTTAAATTTTGCCCCGAGGGGCGAGTTTATTGGGCAGCGCCACTCATCCTGTGATGAGTGGACACACCGCCATAGTAGCATGTACAACACTCACGAATAGGAAGAAAACCCGCTGGGTTGTTCATCCTGTCACTTGTACCCGGACACAGCTGGGACTTGCTTAACTGTCTCAAGTGAACAGCTTATCAAACAAAAAGATTAACATTCGTCAACCCTTAAAAGCTTACGTTATCTTGCGGGTGCAAAATCGGGGAATCTTTTAAGAACAGTATCAATATTTAACAAATAGTGTTTTCCTAACTCAAACAATGTGGGGTTTATTATTCTACACATATTCCTAATGACTCTTAGATGTTCACATTCTCTCAGGTAGTGGTCAAGGCGGTGTCCATCACTCTCACCACAGATTCTGCAACTTCTCTGCTGAACTGTTGTTTCCTTCCCGAATCTCCATGGATATTTGTATCCAAAACGGATTCTTGCTATTATTGATTCTCTACCAACCACTTGGATTGGACGGTAGAGCAACGGTCTCGCTTCATGCAGGTCGGCGTTCAATCCCCGAACGTTCAAGTGGTTGGACACCATTCCTCCCCCCCCCCTCTCCCATCGCAAATCCTTATTCTGATCCCTTCCAAGTGCATTTAGTCGTAATGGCTTAGCCCTTTGCATTCATAGCTCCCTCCCGTGGCCACCTTCTCTTCGTCCAAAATGTTTGGGATTGCCAGCTGCAACCACATTGTACCAGCAAACAGATTCACACACACACACACACACACACACACACATATATATATATATATATATATATATATATATATATATATATATATATATATATATATATATATATATATATATATTATACAGGAGTTCTTACATTCTTGTAAAGCCACTAGCACGCATAGCGTTTCTATTGAACTATGGCAGGTCCTTAATCCTAATTTTCCCTGGAATACGACCCGCCAAATCGTTTAACAACCAGGTACCCATTCACTACTGGGTGAACAGTGTACAGTTAAAGATTGGCGCCCAGTCAATCCACCCCGGCCAGGATACGAACCCAGACCAAATCGCTGGCGAAGCGTGGGACGAGTGTTTTACCTCAGCTTTACGCGGGGACTGCTTGTAACATTTATAATTTTAAGACTAGTAGGCTGGCATAAAAAAAAAAAGAGAGATGCATCTCACTTCGCCGTGGTCACTGTTAAATAGTGTTAGGTAGTCACTGCTCTTACAGTCCACCTCCTCCTCTTTCCATACTCCACCTCTATTCCATTTTCCCGATCCTCCTCCCTCCCGCCAATGATGGGTGGGAAGGAGGGGGTGGGGCTCGTTCCGCCCCTCCCGTCCCCCCTCTCCCTATCGACACATACGCCTGCTCCACAAGCAGTTGCCACACCCCTCTGAGTACAGATGACCTTTGTGTTAGCACCCAGCCAGCAACGTTACATTCGTCTCGTGCACACAACAACTTACAACTTAAACTACAGAAGAGAATAGACCAAATATAGGGACTATATTTGGTAGCGTTGCTCCAAGCTACTTTTCTTCGTCAATCTGCTGCTATGTCGAAAGTACCAATTTGAAGCCAGACAACTTCATATGTAACACAAATAGGAAGTAACGATTTCAAGGTCAACGAGCCACAATGTATGACTGAGAACATGAGCTGTTTTTTCACTCACAGGGTTATAAACCCATAGAACTACCTATACCCGTCGAAGCCGTTAACGACAAATTAATTCTGAATTTTAACAAACCAGCTTGATAAAATCATCTAGACAAATGGTGGGGGGGGGGTGGGGGGGCTTTAACAAGCCGTCGGCTTCCTGTTCTCGTCGAGGCCAGTAGAGAAATAGTGGCCCTCAGGTAAATTCAGGTAGTGATCAACCACCAGTTAGTTTGTTTAGTTCATTTATTATGCACCCCATACC